ACACGTGGAGGACCCAAGGAGTCTGTTCCAAGGATGTGATTGAGCACAGGGAAGTGCTGAGACCTTGGATTTCCTAATGACAGTTTAAAATCTGCCTGCAGATCAGCTTCCTCAGCACCAGCACATGGCTCTGGGGCATCTGCACCTTGCAATTTGGTGGCAGTTGACTCTGCAGATGTACAGGACAACTCATCCCATTCCACCCCTGCCATGGGCAGGGACACCTTCCACTATCCCAGGTAGCTCCAGCCTGGCCTTGGACACTTCCAGGGATGGGGCAGCCACAGCTTCTCTGGGCAACCTGTGCCAGGGCCTCACCTCCCTCCCAGGGAACAATTCCTTCCCAATATCCAATCTGAATTTCCCCTCTGTCAGTGTGAACCCATCCCCCTTGTCCTGTCACCCCAGTTCCTGATGAACAGCCTCCCTCCAGCTTCCCTGCAGCCCCTTCAGCTCCTGGAAGGTTCTCTGAGGTCTCCACACAACCTTCTGCTCTCCAGGCTGAACATTCCCAGCTCTCCCAGCCTGTCAAAGGCTGATCCAAACCTGGCTCTTGCTGTAAGAGGGAGGCAATAGTAACTCTTCTAAGGAAGAATCCCCCAAAAAGTGCACAAAAAAGGGTCTCAGACAGGCAGAAGCCTTTTCCAGATAAAAATTGTCAGTAATCCACCCCAGTCTCTGATCTGGATTGTGAAATTCAACTGCCAACAGAAATAGTCACTTGAACCACTAAAATAAGTGGAGAAATGTAGAAGTCAGTTTTAACAAAGCAAATTAAAGATATGGGGACCTAAATGGCCAGATCAGAGTGGAATCCACATCCCAAATTGGGTGAGGTTCTGTAAATCTCAGGCTCAGCTTTAAAAACCTGTATCTGCCTCTGCCTTTAGAGAAACTAATCCCAAATAACCCACAAACCCAAGAACCTTTAAAAAAACCATCCCTCTTAATTCCCAGCGTCAGATATTTCTGCAGGGTCCAGTTTCCAGTTCAAAGTGCCAACAAAATGTTATTTTCCCAGTTAGAAATAGAAGGAGGCAAATAACTTACCGAGCTTGCAGTGGAGAGTAAGAACTGGATTGAAAGCTTGGAAAAGGGTGTTTTTATATGGTGTTTTTATAGTCCTTCAGACCACGGAAAACCTGAGCCACTGTGGATCAGATCCTAATTAGCTACGGGGGGGAATTTGTTCCTATGCCACTTTTTCACTGGCTGTAATTATTTTACTCATTTGTGCTCGTTAATGCTTTGTTATCCCTAAATCCCATGGAAAACACCTCACACCCCAGGGTTGGTTTCATTTTAAACCTTTATGGGAGACGGAAAAGCCGCCTTTTATTCTGTTGACCTCATTAGTTCCATCAGGAAATGGATCCCTCTCCTCTCAAAGCTGCTTTTTGCAGCCTGACAGTCCAGAGGCAGCAGCAGGGAGTGGGAGATACAGCTTCTCACTCCATTTTTCCTGCAGATGAGGAGCTGGGACGTTGGGGAACGTGGCTTTGCAAAGGGAGGGACGGAGCCACCACTGCCCTTGCAAAATGTTCCATCCCAATGACCCCAAAGCAGGGAGAGCTTTCCAGTACTCCTGTTATCCTGCCCTAGGACCATCCCCAGAGCTCCTGCCCGGCTCCCAGAGCTCAGCTGGGGCTGTGCTGCTGCTCCCTGCCCCTGTGCCTTGTCCTGGTCCATCAGCAGAGAGACTGTGATGTAATTAAGAACCTTTGATGTCCTGAGACGCAGCCTGTAAATTGGCTGAGTGCTGGCATTGCTCATCCCGGGGCTGAGCTCGGCCAGCTTGGCTCATGTAAAACATTAATGAGCATTTGTGAGCAGTCTGAAGAGCTCCTGTTGGGAAGGTGCTATTTAATAACCCGTCAGTGCTACTCTTGTTTTATAGGCAGGTGTAAACAGCTGTCTGTGCAATCCCAGCTCTGTCAGGAGTGTCTTCATTTATCAAAGCTCAGGTGTCTTCATTTGTCAAAGCTGAGCTGTCTCAATTCAGCAGCAGAGCAAAGCTGAGCTGTGAGGTGAGAACAGGCCCTCACACAGGTCCTGCCACTCTGTTTATTCTTTTTTCCCCTTCCCAGCTCGGAGTATCTCCTTAGAAAAAGTCCTGGTGCAGGCAGTGCTTTACCTCCCTGATTTTACCTCCCTCGTGAATGTACTACAGGTTTGTGTGTTCTGAGGGGGAATGGAGTTCTCATGGAATGGTTTGGGTTGGGAAGGACACTGAAGATCATCTCATTCCACCCCCCCTGCCCTGGGGCAGAGGTTGGACTCGAAGATCCTGGAGGTCTTTTCCCATCTAAATAATTCTGGGATCTGGTGATTCTATTTTTTTGGGATGCATTGGATCACTGGTACCTGCCTGTTTTATGGAACAGTTCGCCCAAATAATGTCTTCAGAGAGCTCCCTCCTCCTGTGTTGAGCTCTCGCTTGGTCCTTTAAGGTTTTATCCTGATGGATGATTTTTGTGTTTTGCATCGTCAGTTTTTAGGGTGCTGGGCTTTGATTCTTCAGCTTGTTTTACCTGGGGAGTGGAGCTGACACAGGCCCAGTTCTGTTGTCTTCCCTCCTGAGCTGCTGAGTCCTGGCTCCCGTTCACCCCCCGACTCATCACTTTTGTCTCCTCCCTGTCCCTGGTTGGAGTCACAGCACCCTCGTTAAAAACCATCCACGTGCCAGCCCCGGTTGTGTGGAGCACTAATGAGCTGTTCTGATGTGCTCTGGAAAGGCTTTCAGAAAGCCTTGGTGTGATTGTTGTCAGTGTTAATCTCCACGTTCTGATAAATCCACCCCACAGTGACGTGAACCCCGAGCAGTTTTCTGCAGAAAACAAATCCCAGCAGTGGGGATTCCTCTCACACTGGAGGAAAGATCTTGGCTTTGAATTATTAATAAATCTCTAATATAGGATTTAACATTTAGTTTTATCTTCAGCTGGATAAAACTGGTAATGAGGTGTTTAATTCCCGTGTGTTTGGGGAATTACTTCGGGGATAAATCGCTGCCCAGTCTAAGCTGAATCTCAGCACATGTTGAAATTCTTATTCAACACGTGGTTATCTTCAGTTATTAGTTGTGGCTGGAAGTGTCCAAGGCCAGGTTGGACAGGACTTGGAGCAACCTGGGCTAGTGGAAGGTGTCCCTGCCCATGGCAGGGGGTGGGACTGGATGGTCTCGAAAGTCCCTTCCAACCCCACCCATTCCATGATTCCACGGTAGAAAATGCAGAGCCAGTTTTCCAAAGGAGCTGCAGATCTCTTCTGTCATCCCCAGACATTGTGACAGGGTGAAGATAAACCTCGGTGTGCAGTTAAACTGGCAGAACATCCCACGTTTTCCCATTGCTGTGGAAATCTGGGCTGAGGTTTCAGCTGCACAGCAGCACAGTGCCAGGGGGTCCAGTCCTGCCCTCAGAGTCATTCTGCTGCCAGTCTGGTGAGATATCTCAGAATCCCAGAGCAGCTGGGGTTGGAAGGGACCTCTGGAGTCACCCTTGCCATCCTTGGCATCGGTTGCTGACTCAGTTGGGTGTCAGAGCAGCTCTGGCTGATGTTTAACAGATGATAACCCCACACCAGCAGCTGCATTCCATCAGCAGCTGGGCTTCCAGAATGCAGCTTCCACTTGTTGTTCCACAGAGTTGCTGTTACAGTGGCTTTTGGTGCCCTTTTAATTGGAGAAGCGACTCACTGGCAAAAATGCCTGACAAGGTCTTGCCTCAGCCACACCCTGTTTATGGCCTTTTTGCCATCCCCCTAATCCAGCCATGATTTACAGCTTCACGAATGCGGGGCATTTAATTCCATATAAAATGTGCTCTTGCCCTTCTTTCCTTTTTTATGGGTAAAACGTGATAGAGAATCGTGTGCTCGGCGTCGAACTGGGAGAGCTGCCCTGACTTATCTGGGGCTGCAGCTCTGTCAGTGCAGGAGCTCTGCACTGTGCCAGAGCTCTGACCAGGCTTTGGATTAATCTGATTTCACACAGAACCCAGAGCACAGTTTATCCCTCACTGTTTCAGCTCTTCCTGGGCTGAGCTGAGTGTGTTCTCACCCAGGAAAAAGGCTCATTGTCACCTGCCCAGGAACGAGTCCATTCAGGGAACACATCAGGGATGAACCACGTGAGCACGACATGCAGTGTCCCCTCCACATAAACTGGGAAATAGCAGGGCCAGGAAGGCAGTAAAGGACAGGTCACACAGGGACAGACTGATAATTACAAAGAGTGATTTATTCACACCAATTGACGTCCATTACCAAAGCTGGATCTCCAGAGAAACGTGCTCAGAGATTGATCAGGACGTTCTGCCCGTGGTGATTCATGCCCTGGGCACTCTCGGGGCGAGTATAAAAGGGCTCCCCAGCAGATCTTGGCAGATCATTTCTCTGCTCTTCTCTTGTGCTGTAGGTAAGTGACACCTGAATTCCTCTCCTGACAAAGCCTGAGTGTAGTTTTAAGGCAGAGTCTTGTGCAAATGTTCTGGGATCAGTCTGAAGGTTTCTTGGACATGGTATTTAGTGCTCTGGTCTAGTTGATAACGTGGTGATGGGTCAAAGGTTGGACTTGATGGCCTTAGAGGTCTTTTCCAACCTTAATGATTCTGTAAATGAATAAATTAGTGTTCAGCTACTGGCTTTGGTAAATGCAAATCTGGGTGAGATCCAAGATTTGGACTCGATGATTCTTGTGGGTCCCTCCCAACTCACAATATTCTGTGATCCTGGAATCAACATTTCACAAAGGCTCTTTCCAGATGTGTTCAACACAAGATTTATAGGGGTTTTTTTGGGTTCAACATGAGATTTATAGTTTTTTTCGGGTTCAACACGAGATTTATAGTTTTTTTCTGGGTGATGAGTTATGAGAACTCTGCCTTTCCCTCGAGCCTCTTTGCAACCTCTCCTCACCACGTTTGAGGGCGCAGCTGATAAGAACTGATGTCCTGTGTCCCTGCTCTTCCTCAGATCCCCTCAGATCCTCCCTCCTGACGATGGTGCTGTCCCGGAGCCCCTGCACCGAGGGCTCTCCCTCGCCCTGCGGGGTGGCCGCGCCCCAGCCCGTGGCCGAGAGCTGCAACGAGCCGTGCGTGCGGCAGTGCCCCGACTCCACCGTGGTCATCTACCCCCCGCCCGTGGTGGTCACCTTCCCCGGGCCCATCCTGAGCACCTTCCCCCAGCAGAGCGTGGTGGGATCCGCGGGAGCCCCCGAGGTCGGGG